TAGTCCGGCGGACTCCATGTCCGGCCGGACTCCATGTCCCCCATATGGGGACTATCCTGTCCTGGGGGGGGGGGTGGGACAGAAAGTGGGGGGACTAAACACTGTTTGGATTATATGCGAAAATGACCATTTTGACCCTCTACTATTTAATTATGTATTATATTTAATAAAATTCAATAAAATTTAAATGTCTCAATTTAAAAAATATAAATAATTTTATTTTATTAACTTTTTATTAATGTTTATTTATTTAATTTTTAAAATAATTTTTTATAGATATTTTATTGATGTTTTATTTTAAAATTTTGTTTATGTTTTATTTAATTTCATTGTTTAAATTTAATAGATGTTTTAATAGAAGTTTTATTTAAACAATAAATGTTTAATTTCAACAATAAATAATTTCATTTATTTAAATTATGTTTTATTTAAACATTTAAACATTTGTTTACATCAACATGTTTATAATTATTTCAACATCTGTAAATCAACATGTATATTTATTTAACATCTATTAAATTATGTTTTAATACGTCAACATTGATTACATCTACATTTGTTAATTGTTAATTACATCAACATTTGTTAATTGTTTAAACATAATCTATACATCAACATTTATTAATTGTTAATTGTTAATTGTTTAAACATAATCTGTACATCAAAATAATTTCAATGTTAATTGTTTAATAATTTAAACATTTAACCATTAGTATGTTTAATTTCAACAAAAATTTTTATTGTTTAAATAAAAATAATCTATACCAGTCAAATTTTTTTATCAATATTAGTATGTTTAAATACTTTAAACAAAATTTAAACCATTAGTATGTTTAATGTTTACTAAAAATAATTAAAATATTAAAGATATGTTTAATATTGCTATTACTTAGTAAACAATTGAAAAAGGGTAAAATAGTCTTTTGTTCATTTATCCTATCCAGTCCGTCCAACCAAACGTTGGACTCACTGAAAATAGTCCTATCCAGACATCTAATCCCATGAAAAAACAAACACAGGATACATATCCAGTCCGACCAAATAGTCCGGGGGATTCACAGTCCCAGGACTCAAGTCTGATGGATTCTATCCCCCATTTTCCAGTCCGTCCAATAAACACACCCTAAGTTGACCTTTAGCACGACTTATCATCCACAGACTGACGGGCAGTCCGAGCGTACTATTCAGATCCTTGAGGATATGCTTCGGGGTTGTGTTCTA